CCACCTTTTATAGGTTCAGTTTGGCCTATGAAGCATGGGTAGAAAATATATGGCTGCATACTAGATTCATATCTTTGTTAGGAATCAACAGTTGATGACCCTCTCTGGATACTTACTGACGATGTCCCAATTTTCTTCTTATGTTTTTTCTGTCTTTTCAACTTCATGCCCTTAAGCAATTGAAACTTAAATTGCTCGGACATGGGTGCGGGTATCCGACGGATTCTTCGAGATGTAAATTTTAAAATTCGGAGATACGGTTCCTAGTACGGATGCGAGTGCCAGGATCGGACTAAAAATAATTCAAAAAAAATAAAAATATAAAAATATCTTTAAATTATGAGAAATTTTGTGGAATACTAACGTATAACTTGTAAAGTATGGATTTCTTTTTTATTCTCAAGTTGTAGATAAGTATAGGATTGATTTCCTAGATAAGATATGCTATTTTCTTCAAATTTACCCTAGTTTTGGTTCTGATATCGAATCAATTGTATCTCGTCTCGAAATTTTCCGTCTGTCATGGTCAACAACAACAACAAACCCAGTGTCATGGTTAAAGTACCCAAAATTGTTTGACCACATCCCGTATAGATCTCATACCCACACCCATACTAGTGTCGTGTCACACGAGTGCGGCATCTAAACTGCCGTGTCGGAGCAACTTAGATTGAAACCAAAGGGCACACCAAGTTTTTCATCTTAGGCGCATGCCTAATGCCAAAGTTTTCCTTTGAGTCATCAGCAATAATACTTGCCATATCCATGCAGCTGACACACTACCTAAAGAGTTATGTGCAATACACATTCTTTACTCCTCTAAACTTCTTCCTTTCTCACTTTCTATAAAAGACAGTTACCCTCCCTTTTGTAGAAGCAGGATGCATGTGGTTCCTTTGATAAGAAGATTTTTCAAAAAAGAAAACAAAATATAGAGAAATTGTTGCTCTGTGAGATTAGCAACAATGAATTAATGAGTGCTTAAATAACAATAATGAATTACCTACCCTTTAGCCCAACCTACTTTTAACCTATTAACGGTGGGGCTTTTTATTATGAGAACTAACAATGAGGTGTTTTGGTTTTAACTCATGCCATTCCCACTCAGCCCGTGCATTTGTCACATCAAGCCTGACCAAAAATCTATAGCCTCAATTTATGCAAAAAATGCAGCAGATGCAAAGCTAGTTAAGAGCGCCAAATGACTGCCATTAACTGCTCAGATTATAGTGTATTCATTTTCTAAATGAATGGCTAGAAAGAAAAAATTGATCTCTTAGAGGACTAGACAAGAAGCAGAAACAAGTTTGTGACTCTGTTCGAACAGGGCTAAGCAAAAAAGGCAGCAACATGTTTGTTCTTTGGCCTTCCAGTTTCTTCTATAGTGTGTTGCTCTGGCATACGTTCTTTGCGAGATGTGATGTTCAGATGAGCCTGCAACAAACTTTTCATATTTCAATATATGTATTAACATTTCTGACTGCTTTATTTTCCGCGAGACACTGAAGTTACGAGTATTGTATTCCCAGTAACCAGATGGAATTCATGTTTCTCCTCTTTGAACATTTTAGAGATTTTAGCTTATTACCTGTAGTATTTTCATGGAAACTTTACCTCGATAGAAAATTATATCAGTAGAGCATGAAGCTTTGCTGATATTTTTGTAGTTGAAATGGTGGGGTTTACAGTAAGGTACTGACAGCTATTTTCAGAACTCCCCTGTGAAGTTTTAGCCAAATGATCAATTGTGTAGTTTTGATCTATTATGCTACCACGGTCCTGACATCATGTGGTATATTCAGGTATATTGGCTTCAATTTGGGAGATATTTTGCTCGAGGACCTATTGTAAGTTCTACGTTTCTGTAATTTCCTATTAATGTAAGAAAGTAGTCAAGAGGGGATACTGATGATGTAAGAAAGGACAAGTAATACAAGTTGCTCTAAGTTCCTAAGGTTTACTTTTCCCTGTTGCAGGAGAGAGATGATTATGCATTGGAATTAGCAATGGGAGATGAATAACCTGTCAAGAGTTTAGAGAATGTGGAGTCAAAAACAAATGTGTAATTTTCTTGCCTCTCGTTGTATATCTGGGGTAATATGCTCTCCATTGCCTTTTCCTCAGTGGATTGGCTGTTCTCTTGTACCGTTAGTATAATGAATAAAAATTAATGTTCTCTTCCTTGTCAGATAGGAGCCTGCTTAATGACATCTTGTTATGCCCTTAATGTATTTGAAGTTTTGAAGATATCTGTATGAGGTGCACTTTCTTTGGAATGAATTAGAGTACTTTCTAATTATTGAGCCATTGTTGAACACCTAACTCTGGTCAACTAATGGAGGAAAACTTTTAAAATTATGAGATTGTCTTACTCCAGAGGTCCCATGTTGTTCTTCCCTTTGGTGGTTTGACCGGCAAAACAAACTTCTTGAATCAGACTTATTACCACTCATGTGAATGGAACATAGATTATGCAAATATAATAATTAAAAAAAAGGTTATTTCTGATGCAGAGCAAAGGACTTATCTTTTCTTCCGAATACTGTGTTGCCTAATAACATTTGATCTGAAGCATTAAATGAAATTAGCCTATACTATCACCAGAAAATTAAGCTTAACCAGGGTATTGGATACCACGTTTGGTGAAGTCCAAAAACAGATTTGATAGTGGAGTCCTCCTTTATGAAATTTAAGTGAACAACTGAACATGTAGTGACACAGTCATTCTCCTTAAAAAGTAATGAAAATGGTCGTCGCACCACTGCATGCATTCAAGGCTGAAATATTTTAGGTTGTTCAGCTAACATCCTTACTGTTGCAAGATGTAAATTATAACCCAAACTTGCAGGCCATCCTGAAAAGGAAAGGCCCATTGTGGGGTTTCGAACCGAGTGCCACTGGCCCTCGAGGATTTCTCGGTCATTAAGAAAAACACTTACACCATCTTGATATATTAGATGAAGAAATTATTGCAGTATCTCGTTCCACTGTATATAATCTTTTTTTCGATTTGGTAGATTGAGATAGTAAACTATCTTAAGATATTTATTCTTTCTTCTTAAAACTCTTGCAATTGTCAAGGGAGAAAACTTAGGAAGGCACCCGTATCTACTAAACGCATATCCTTTTGTCCAAAAGGAATAAGAATGGTAAACAGGAAAGAGATGGGATATGACGTAAATGCATATAATAAATTCTCATAGATGGTCTAGATAATTAGTGAAGGAATATCCAACTTCTTTTTGTATACATTTTCTGCCTATCACTACCTTCTTGGTATGGACTTTTTTATTTTTTATTTTTTTTCACTCACATTTTATTTAATAAAGTTTATCTTATAAGAAAAAGAAGTATGTAACCTGAACCTGCATATGCCCTATATTGCATCGACAAGTTGAGCCATTAGTCATCATTAGATAAGATGGTGACAACTTCGCGAAGTACATAATAAACTAAACAACTGGAACATCTGTCATGATGAAGTGCTGACTCTAGTCTTTGCTCATTCAGAAAAGGGCTGAGTACATAGCCTATACAGGGATTATCTCTTAGGGGCAAACGGAAGAACCCTCTACAGACCATTTCAGTTCCATGCTATGTGAAGATATCATTTTCATTTTTGATGAAAAGGTATATTTTGTTTAGTTTGATTCTCTTTTAAAATCAAAGGTGTAGCTTTCAGAGCTCAAAATGCCCAGATCACCCATGTGAAAGGATCATATTATGGACAAATTAAGGTTTTCCTGTTGTCTTATCATGTGCTGGAAAATCAAGCACAACATTTTCATCTAAATGGTCCTGAAGTTCCCATTGATGTGGAAATCACGTATTAGTAGATATTTTAAATTTATATCTTCATTTGGACAAAGACCGGGTGTTGATATACATCCATAGGCTACACACTATGTTAGCTAGTTTCTTGAATGGCACGATTAATTTTTTAGCAGGGCTGGTCATGTCCTTATATTGTCGGTGGTTATAGTTATTAAGAAAAGAAAATAGATATGGACTCCCATAATGTTCCTCATGAAGAGGTTTCTTACTGCATTCTGATTCCAAAAGGTATGATTTAAACTTAAGTCATAAAATCTTTGCAGACTGCTAAAAGTAGCACTAGTTAGGATGTTGAGTTCCTATTTGGTTTGTCTAGCGGTGTGACTAGTTCAAATTTCTAACAGCTTAACTTTGTGGCTCCCTCAATTAACTGATTTGTGGAAGGAAATGAATGTGACTCGATGTTGGTGTCAGTTGCATGTGGTCACAATAGCTGGGTGCAACATTTACTTCGGAATCTCGGCAATGGTTTTTCTGGTAATATCAGGGAAGATTTCATTATTAGTGAATGTTATCCGAAATTATGGGAAAACAAGAGCATCATAGGCTAACAATAAAGACAAGAAAGTAATAAAGCTTGTGGTTACTGATATGACAGGGGAGACAACTCATACAAGCAACTAAATGATGTGGTTGAAGTGGGTAATTTCTGAAAACATGTGTATATTGAAGTGACTTCTTAAATTATTTTCTCATTAATTTTGTGCTTAGTTCATGGGATGATGAAACTTGAGATATACCTCCTCTCTGTTTCTGTGGGTTCTAGCAAAGGAACCAGTGGCAGAGGGAAACCAGGCTGGATTGCCTATCTAATTGAAAGTACTGAACCCCCTTTAGCCCTCAGCAACTCTTTTTGTAGTACGGTGGAGGCATTGATCTTCTTCTGTTAAACTAAGATGTCTGATGTTGACATTCAGGTCTTGCAATTCAATAGTCATATCTTAAACACTCATTTTTAATTTCTTGATCAAAACTGACCAATGAAATGTTGATATCTTCCCTTTGTTTCTTTTTTATGGTAGATATGAATTTAGTCCAGAAAGTTCATTTGACAGAGTCATAAGATGACTTTCATCTGGATGCTTTTTTTTGCATCAATTTGAAATTATTTCAATTGAGACATTTTGAAATTGTATTCAAGGCCTCCCAAGATCAAAATGATATGATGGTAGGTGAAAAGGAGGCTTTACTTTCCAGGATTTTTTAACTAGACTTACAAACGCAATACCATTATATACAAACCTTTTGTAGGCCCAACCTGCAAAACTGCTTATTCATATTACAGATACGCGAGGGAAATATAGCTCTATAGTAGCTCTATACTTGTAGTGAGTAGAAATTTCCTCTGGTGGATGGTAGTTGCAATTGTGTTGAGACATAACACAACTTCAGTCATAGAAGTTTGTAGTACTGGCTCAGCTGCTTTAAAATTAGCTGTTAAGCTTTTGCTCAGTTGTGCTCGTTAAAACCTGTATTATCCAGCGAACACTTCGTCAAGTAAAATTTAAAAACTTAAGGAATGCTTTAAAGGCCGTAGAACTTTTTTGTATATTCATACATTGATTGTAACTGTAATAATTACTGATTGTACATCTACAAGAACACTACAGTTCGATAGAAGAAATTTGTGGAAGTAAATTATTACTGGTTTCATTGCTACTTGTACTGATAGGTTTATTAAATTCCATCACACTGAAATTTTGGATAGAGTGGAATAATATTGTAGAGCCACATGAACACAGAGGATTCATATATCTAGTCCTAACGAATCTGGGAGTGGACGTAATGGACGTAATACCATGGAGTAGTTAATCTTTTATAGTTGAACAGACATGACCTGTCGTAAGGGTAAGAAACAGTACATATGCACATTGCTACCATCACCACTATTGCTGCCAAGACTATTACTAGTACTATTTCCGTAATTGTTTTAAGGGAGAAGAAGAGAATAGGAAACACTTCCTTCCAAGGATCAGGTTATACTTGACAATGTAGGATTAATGGAAATCAACAGAAAAAAAAAATGCTTGAGAAAAGAAATATTGCCTAGATTTAAACTTCAGGAACTTGTTGCAGGCATTTCAGATTTTTTTAATTACATTTCTAGACCTTTATAAGATGTGCCAAATTAGAGATATTTATTGCAAACTACTAAACTGCTTCAGAATTGCCAGTTAAAAATGTGGTCCACAAAAGTTGGAGTAACATGTATATACATGTTTGTAGTGGCTCCATTGAAGCTTAGTCATAAGTTATTCTGAATATTCGAGAAAACGGAGCAAAGAAAATGAAAATGTGGTGCCTCTTTTCTTGGAAGGCCTAAAGGTGCTCAGGCTCATTATTTAGTTTTTGTGTTAAACTTCGGTATATGATTCTTCCATAAAGAAAATACAGGGTATGCTTTTTCTTTTTTTTTAAATAAATTGTTTGGTCGTCAAGTCCTGCTCTTGTGAAACAAGCTTAACAGGTTACATTTAATTCCTTTGGTTGTTTTTGTAAGCTTTAAAATCTATATGCAGGTCCTAGTTGGTGTTCTATTTTGAAAAGGTTAGTTATATAAGGTGCTTGATTAGAAATTCCCCCTCCTTTTATGTTACATTTCAGTATCTTCTGTCCCATGTTTCCGAGATGAACAATGAGGTTGTTCCTGTTGTAGAAGGATTAAATCCTGGTAATTAGGCTTTGAATTGCAGAATTTTGGTAGTGTCAGAATACTAGTTCATCATTGGCTGCAGCATAAAAGCTTAAAGACTTAATGCTAAGAGAATTACTTACCCCTACCGCTGTCACAAAATTGCAGACTGCACATTTCACTGATCGTGCCCCATATTGGTACATCAACAGCATGCGGCAGTTGCCACAATTCACATGTGCTACCTGATTTGCTGTGACAATACCATTTTATTCTTACTTGTACTAGCAAGGATATGTAATATATGGAATATATTTCAAAAAGCTGGAGAATCACTTTACCTTCCATAGCTAAATTGACTGTGTGACAACAAGAACACTGCACGCTTGTTGCTCCACGAATGTACATTAGTAATGTGTGGCAGCCTCCGCAAACCAACTGAGCCATCTCAGTGCCTGTTTAAGGTTCATAACATGTAAATGGACTTTAGGAGCTTAAATATTTAAATGAATGTTCAATCAATGAACATGTACCAGGAGGTGGTACTGCTGTGACTGCATTGCAAACTGCACAGCAGACAGATGTTGCTCCAACTGGATAGAGTAAAAGATTTCTACATCCAGAGCACACGAGCTGGCTCTGTGTACCTGTCAGTCACCATATTATACAGTCAAACAGGTCTCGCATTATTATAAAGTGGTCACTTTTCCTGAACTGTGAGACTGATTCATCAGAAAGTTGAAGCTGAATTCAGAATTATTAAGCAATTAACAAGTTACTAGTCAAGAAAGTATTGGTGCCCATGACGTTAATTGATTTTGGTCTATTTAATAAATACACTTCATCTAGAAATGCTAAATTAAACTTTGATTTGGATTCTAGAGTTGGAGATTTAGATAAGAACTCTTGATCTTCCAACTACAACCATCAATATTATCCTTCTTATTTGTCTTATTATTATTATTAGCAAGCAGGAATAGGTGAATGGAAAATGTTGTACCGTTAGCAGGCGGTGTAAATGACGTTGGTGGTGTAGGATATGGGGCAAGAGGAACTGGCATTGTGAAGCTAACGGAGGTAGTCAAGTCCACTTCCAAGATCTCAAAAGCTTACTGCTTCAACAACTTTGAAAAGAGCAGCTGCTTCCATCTAAATTTACTGTATCCTGAAAAAATACGGAAAACTATACATGATTGAGCTAGCAACTAAAGGACCTGAAATTTCTGGGCTGAAAAATGAATCTGAAAACTACAGAAATACGATTAGGAAAAAGAGAAATGGATGGGTTGATAACTTTGCATATCAACTCATTAGCAGTCTATATGCTACTTAAATTTCATACATGATTTTTTACTGGTTCATCCACTGAGCATTTGAAACATAGAGGTGCTCAGTTAAGCGTATGGAGAAGAAGTTTTGTCCCCGTCTTATGGGAGGCTCATCCCAGCAGAGGAGTCAGCCTTCGACTTCAGCACCAGTTACTTCCCCACCCGCTCAGTCAGCTCGGGGTGGAGGTTAGTTAGCTAGAGGTCTCCCTAGAGGGGAGGTCGATCAGGTGGTGTTCAGGACCATTTCTATGACCTCCCAGCCAGACCAGATGCTATTGCTTCAGATGCTGTGATTACAGGTATTGTCTCAGTCTGCCACAAAGATACCTCTGTATTATTTGATTCCGGTTCCACATTTTCATATGTGTCATCATATTTTGCCCATTATTTGGATACGCCCCGCGAGTCTCTTATTTCATCTGTTCATGTATCTACTCCGGTAGGCGATATTATTGTTGTGGATCGTGTATATCAATCGTGTGTAGTGACTATTGGGAGTTTAGAGACCCGAGTGGGTCTCTTGTTGCTTAGTATGGTTGACTTTGATGTGATATTGGGCATGCATTGGTTATCTCTGTGTCGTGCTATTTTGGACTGTCATGCTAAGATAGTGGCGTTGGCTATGCCGGGGGTGCCACGGATTGAGTAACGAGGTTCGACAGATTATGTACCTAGTAGAGTGATTTCATTTTGGAAGGCCCATCGGATGGTTGGGAAGGGTTGTCTTTCTTATCTGACCTTCGTGAGGGATGTTAGTGCAGAGACTCCTACCATTGATTCAGTTTCGGTAGTGAGGGACTTTTCGGATGTGTTTCCTGCAGACCTGCTGAGCATGCCACCGAAAAGGGATACTGATTTTGGTATTGATTTGGTGCCGGGCACTCAGCCCATTTCTATTCCACCGTATTGTATGGACCGGCGGAGTTGAAAGAGTTGAAGGAGCAGCTTCAGGAATTCCTTGATAAGGGGTTTATTCGGCCTAGTGTGTTGCCGTGGGGTGCGCCTGTCCTATTTGTGAAAAAGAAGGATGGCACTACGAGGATATGCATTGATTACAAGCAGTTGAACAAGGTCACAATAAAGAACAAGTATCCTTTGCCTCGTATCAATGATTTATTTGACCAGCTTCAAGGAGCGAGAGTATTCTCTAAGATTGATCTCCGTTCAGGGTATCACTAGTTGAAGATCAGGGGCTCGAACATTCTTAAGATAGCCTTCAGGACCCGATATGGTCATTATGAGTTCCTTGTGATGTCTTTTGGGTTGACCAATGCCCCAGCAGCGTTCATGCATTTGATGAACAACGTGTTTCGGCCTTATCTCGACTCGTTCGTTATTGTATTCATTGATGATATTCTGGTATACTCGCGTAGTCAGGAGGAGCACGCGAAGCATTTGAGAGTTGTGTTGCAGAGGTTGAGGGAGGAGAAATTGTATGCAAAGTTCTCCAAGTGTGAGTTTTGGCTCAGTTCAGTGGCTTTCTTGGGACACGTGGTGTCCAATGAGGGTATTCAAGTTGATCCGAAGAAGATAGAGGCGGTTCAGAGTTGGCTCAGACCGTCCTCAGCCACAGAGATTCGTAGCTTTCTTGGTTTGGCGGGTTATTACCTTCGGTTCGTTTAGGGATTTTAATCTACAGCATCACCCTTGACCAGATTGACTCAAAAGGGTGCTCCATTCAGGTGGTTGGATGAGTGTGAGGCGAGCTTTCAGAAGCTCAAGACTGCCTTGACACAACTCCCGTGTTAGTTTTGCCATCAGCTTCAGGTTCATATACGGTGTATTGTAATGCTTCGAGAGTTGGAATTGGGTGTGTGTTAATGTAGGAGGGTAGAATGATTGCTTATGTTTCTTGTCAGTTGAAGCCCCATGAGAAGAACTACCACGTTCATGATCTAGAGTTGACTGTCATTGTTCACGCATTGAAGATTTGGAGGCATTATCTCTATGGTGTGTCTTGTGAGTGTTTACTGATTATCGTAGCCTCCAGCACTTGTTCAAGTAGAAGGATCTCAATTTGAGGCAGCGGAGATGGTTTGAGTTGCTAAAGGACTATGATATTACCATCTTGTACCATCCGGGGAAGGCCAATGTAGTGGTCGATGCTTTGAGTAGGAAGGCGGTAAGTATGGGCAGTCTTGCATTTATTCCTGTTAGGGAGAGACCTCTTGCAGTTGATGTTTAGGCCTTGGCCAATCGGTTTGTGAGGTTGGATATTTCGGAACCTAGTCGAGTCTTAGCTTGTGTGGTTTCTTAGCTTGTTTGTTTGATCGCATAAGAGAGCGCCAGTATGATGATCCTCATTTGCTTGTCCTTAAGGACAGAGTTCAGCAAGATGATGCCAAGGATTTGACTATTGGTGATGATGGAGTATTGAGGATGCAGGGCCGGATATGTGTGCCCAATGTAAATGGGCTTCGGGAGTTGATCCTGGAGGAGGCCCATAGCTCGTAGTATTCCATCCATCCGGGTGCTGCGAACATGTATGAGGATTTGAGATAGCATTATTGGTGGAGAAGAATGAAGAAGGATATTGTGGGATTTGTAGCTCGGTATCTCAATTGTCAGCATGTAAAATATGAGCATCAGAGACCGGGTGGCTTGCTTCAACAGATAGATATTCCAGAGTGGAAGTGGGAGCGGATCACCATGGATTTCGTAGTTAGGATCCCACGGACTTTGAGAAAGTTCGATGCTATTTGGGTGATTGTGGATCGGCTGACCAAGTCCGCACACTTCATTCCTATGTGTTCTACCTATTTTTCAGAGCGATTAGCTGAGATTTATATCCAAGAGATTGTTCGCCTACATGGTGTCCCAGTTTCCATCATTTCAAGTAGAGGTACTCAGTTCACATCGCAATTTTGGAGGGTCGTGCAGCGAGAGTTGGGTACTCAAGTTGAGTTGAGCATAGCTTTTCACCCTTAGACGGACGGGCAGTCCGAGTGCACTATTCAGATATTGGAGGACATGTTGCACGCTTGTGTCATCGATTTTGGATGGTCATGGGATCAGTTTCTATCGCTTCCGGAGTTTGCTTATAACAACAATTATCATTCGAGTATTCAGATGGCTTCATATGAGGCTTTATATGGGAGACGGTGTAGATCTCTAGTTGGTTGGTTTGAGCCAGGTGAGGCTAAGCTTTTGGGTACAGACTTAGTGCAGGATGATTTGTACAAGGTGAAGGTGATTCAGGAGCGGCTTCGTACAGCGCAATCCAGACAAAAGAGTTATGCTGACAGGAAGGCCCGTGATGTGTCTTACATGGTTGGGGAGAAGGTTTTACTGAAGGTTTCACCCATGAAGGGTGTTATGAGATTTGGGAAGAAGGGTAAATTGAGTCATCGGTTTATTGGGCCTTTTGAGGTGCTTCGGAGGATTGAGGAGGTGGCTTATGAGCTTGTTTTGCCACCCATCTTGTCGAGTGTGCATCCACTATTTCATGTTTCTATGCTCTAGAAGTATATTAGCAATTCGTCTCATGTTTTCGATTTCAACATGGTTCAGTTGGACGGTGATTTGACTTATGATGTGGAGCTAATGGCTATTTGGAGCATCAGGTTCGAAAGTTGAGATCAAAGGATATAGCTTCAGTAAAAGTGTAGTGGAGAGGTCGGCCTATGGAGGAGACTACCTAAGAGACCAAGCGGGAGATGCAGAGCAGATATCCTCACCTATTTAAGGCTTCAAGTATGTTTCTTGACCCGTTCGAGAACGAACGTTTGTTTAAGAGGCGGAGGATGTAACGACCCGGCCGGTCGTTTTATGAGTTACCGCTTCGTTTCCCCCATTTCTACTTCTTTATGTCTTGTTCAGCTGTATTATGTGGTATCGGGTTGGTTGGTTCGGGTTCGGAGTGGTTTTGTAGAGGAATGAGACACTTAGTCTCTTTTGAGTAAGCTTAAGTTTGAAAAGTCAATCAGAAGTTGACTTATAGGTAGAAAGCCTCAGATGTGAATTTTGATGGTTCTGATAGCTTTGTTAGGTGATTTGGGACTTCGGAGCGTGATGGGAATGTGATTTGGAGGTCCGTGGAAGATTTAGGGTTGAATTGGCGAAATTAGAATTTTGGCACTTTCCGGTTGGTAGTGGGAATTTTGATATCGGGGTCGGAATGGAATTTTGGAAGTTGGAATATGTTCGTTGTGTCATTTGGGACGTGTGTGCAAAATTTCAGGTCATTCGAATGAGGTTTGATAGACTTTTTGATCGAATTCGGAAGTTTTGGAATCTTCAGGCTTGAATCCGAGGGTGATTTGATGATTTGATGTTGTTTTGAGTGTTCCGAAGTTTGAAACAAGTTTGAGTGTTGTTAAATGACTTGTTTGTATTTTTGGTTGAGGTCCCGGGGACCTCGGGATAGATTCGGAAGGTTGGCGGAAGATTTGGAATTTAAGTGGAGTTGCAGAATTTTTCGGGTTCTGTTGTTTCCGCAATTGCGGATTGGGGACCGCAGGTGCGACACCGCAGATGCGTAGGGGAGGTCGCAGAAGCTGATCTGGGTCAGTTGGAGCTTGGCCGCAGATACGGTGTGTTGGGCGCATCTGCGGGACCGCAGGTGCGGTTCCTGGACGCAGATGTGGCCCTGAGGAAGTTAATGAAAAACCACAGATGTTGTTGTCTTGATCGCAGGTGCGTTCCGCAGAAGCGTGATTTAGGCCGCAGGTGCGGGATCCCTGGGCCAGAAACTATATTAAGTCGGCTTGAGAGCTCTTTGAGAGGATTTGAAGAGGGTTT